ACTCGGGTATTTTAACTACTGCAAATATTATGAAATATTATATTACAATATTATATTTTATTATTCATTTTAATATTTATTATTTCACTATTTACTAACAATCACTCACTATTTATTAGTTATTATTTTATTTTTTACTTGTTATCATTTATTTGACTATTGATGATTGATTTATTTTTTATTTGACTATATTTTGTAATCTCTTAACCATAATTTTGGTATTTCAAGGCACAGCCCAATGGTCCCATATACGTGTCTTTTTAGACATTAGGCCTAGGCCCAAGGAAATAATTTCGTAGGCCTAGGCCCATTAGTCCTAGCCATATACGTGTCTTTTTTGTTTCCCTTCCTTTTACAACTATCTCTGGAAATTCTTTTGCTCTCTTTATGAAATCTTTTTAATTATTTAATGCATTTTTTTTTCTAAAATTTCAGAATATTTCTTTTTGTTATTATACTTCTTCTATGAACTTGTTTGTTTCTTAACATTCGACCAACATTATTGAATAATGAAATGATATCAACAACTCCTAACAAATGTTAAAAACTAATAATATTAAATATTTTTTAGGATGGGTAGTTACAAATAATTTATATTACAATAAATATAGATTAATTTATAGAGAAAAAATCATGTTAACTAAATTATATATTATTTTAGTTAAATTAATTTCTAAATTGTAATCTAAATTAATTTTTAATTTTGATTTAAAATTTAAATTGACATCTAGTTTTAACTACAAAAATATTTTAACTATTAATTTAAAATTAAATTATAATATATATATATATTATGGATAAAAATTATTAGGTTAGTTAGTTACGTATTAACCTTTATTATGTTGATTATTTTATAATAAACATATTTTTAATTTCTGTAATTATACAATCATGTATAAATATAAAATATCTTAAATTTGATCTATTTGTATTCTTATTTGAAAATAAAGTTTAACTATATTTAATTTTAATTTTGTTTTTAATTATTTTTTTCATTTAAGAACGAAAATATTCCTATTATGATTTTTTTAATTTTTAAATGAATTAAAAAAATAAAAGTGTTTTAAATTATCTTTATACTAGACTCATGTACCAAAATATCTTTTTGTAATAATTACTTCAAAATTGATACCTACGGTAAGTATAACAATTACTTATTCTTGGATGGTCACAATTTCATTTATTTATGTTGGAGAGATTTGATGAATTACACACATGTTGTGACGAGGTGAATTTGACAACGTGTTCCTTGGTCGGAACTTCATTCTTTTGAAGAGATAATTCAATTATTTCACTTTTATTTTTCTTCAACTGAAGAGAATGTGAAATTAGTGAATAAAAAAACGATCAAACATTTGAAAATGATTAATTATTTTAATATATTAGTGTAAAAAGCACATTTTCCTAAAACATATAGAAAAAAAAAGACACAAAATAAATAAAGTTGTAACTACAATTGTGGTCATGAAAACGTTGAGGAATTTAATGATTCCACAACACAATTACATTAGCTTTTTTGAAATTTCCTATAACATCAAGGAAGAGTCGTGATAAACTGAAACTGCATAATAAAACCTGAAATTGACAAGTTTTATAATCCTAATCAATCAATTTCGAACCAATCAGATACCATATTTGTAATGACCAATGATTATGTTTTTCTATTGTTGTTCATATAAATGATGATGCTTATTCCTTAGACGCGTGTTAAAACTTGTTTCATCTAATTTTATATAATATTGTACTGTTTTTATTTTCATTTTCATTTGACTTTCGAGAATGTGTTTATTTAAATATGATTAATATAAATGGACTTGTAAGTGTATAAGAAATCTTACCAAAAATTGTTTCTCCTAAAACTATAACTTGTAATCTATTTAATATTACAATAACAAATTAAATACAATATTTATTAGAGAATTAAACTAAAATTAATAACAAAATTAATTAATTTTAATTGTGATGTGTCCGATCAATTTTTAATTTTTTTTAATAAAATCCTTAATATCTCTTTATCAAACAAATTTTTCTTTATATTTAAAATTATGATAAATTAATTTATCAGTGTGTATGTATTTTTATTTTTAAATATAAAAATACTTAAAATTTAAATAATCAAAATTTTCCACCATATTTTTAAATATAACTTCTGAAATAAAATTAAATTTTTTGAATGTAAGATATGATTAGATAGAGGTGTTAATGATTTTATATCAAAGGATCACTCTAATTAAATATAAAATTTAAATATAAATTAATTTTAATTTTAAAAATTATAAATTAAATCAATATTTTACAATAATTTTACTAGGTTTTGTGATTCTTATTATAAAATTATTAAATATATTATAATTATTAAATAAATAAATATATTATATATAATTAATTGTAATGTTTATTTATGGTTTTTATTTTTTTATATTTAATTTAAATAATAATAATAATAATATATATTCAAAATTATAAAAAATTAATTGATTTATTCATGACAAATATTATGTTATAATTTAATTTAATTTTAATTATTTTTAATTATCAAATAAACACTGAATCAAATTAATTAATTTAAACAAATTTCAATCCAAAAATTAAAATAATAAATTGCTTTTTAATTTTTGAGTTAGATAATTTTCACGAATTAAACAAAGTTTCATCTAAATCTAATATTACTTAAACCGAATTTTCTTCCATGTAACAATATAACCATTATAATAATAAATTTTACATCATGAACATATGATATAATATAATAATAGTGTAATTTTATGATAATATTAAATAATATTTGGGTACATAAAAAATAAACGCACATTAAAAATTTTAAAACTATTCAAGCATTATATTTATTTGAGACAAATTTTTTTAATAAATAATAGATAGTTTAATAAAAAATATTTAATAATAATATATATTTAATTAAAATATGTTTTTCCTATATACATAAATGTCACAAGAATTCTTAAAATTTAATATTGTTAATTTAATAGATATTAATATCAATCAAGATAAATTTGATTATTTAATAATAAAAAAAGAAAAGTATAAAACACTCATTTAACCTAAAAAAGTATAAATAATTTCATTAATCAATATAATTGAAGTTTAAAATAATATTATTTATTATTTAAAATAATTTAATAAGAGTGTGATTGGTAAAATTCTCATTCTTATATACTTATATTTTCATTACAATAAAAATAAGTTTTAAAATTGGTTATAAAGAAATAAATAAATAATAATAATAAATAGGTAATTTGAAACAATTTTTTTACATCAAGGTCTTATGAATGATGTAGTTATTTATTTGTATGAAAGTTTTAATGAGAATGTGTCATAGATATTGAAGAAATATTGGTATGAATATTTATTAGTGATTATTTATATTCTCTTAAAAGTTAAAATTATTTATACTTTATATAACATTTAAATTTGAACTTTATACCTATAATCTTTATACCTATAATCTTAATGTTATTAAAAGTGTAATAAAGTGCTCATATTTGTAAAATAAATTATAATTCCAATCTTAAATATTTATTCTGTAATAAAATCTTATATTATTATAATAGTATAAGATGATGATGATGGGATGAAAATAGAAATTACCAAGAACTTCTTCTGTGCTAATTAATTTATATTTAGTAATAAGATTAATAATTTTTCTGGTAAGTATATTAAAACAAATCGTATAATTAATGTGAATATATAATAATTTATAAACATTCTCTTGTATTAATTTTTAGAATTTAATTATTAATTCAAAATAAAGATTTTGTTTTAATAGGATTATAATCTGAGTTTAAAAGTAGATAATATTTTAAATACAATAAAATGCCCCATGAATATTAATGATTGGAATAATCAATAATAATTACTATAAAACGTATACTTAAATTAAAATAATTTTGAATGGGTTTGATGATAACATACAAAAACCTGCAATCAAATATAAAAAATATTATTTATCATTAGGTGTAAGGTCACAATCAAAATAAATTGTTGGTACGGGAGTTAGATTTCTTAATAGATTGTCAATTCAAATCTTAATTAAAATTATTGAACTCATTCAAATCATTGAAAAGGAATTTAATCTAAAGTTCTCAGTTCATACATTTTGTTTGGCCCTAACTTTACAGGTGAAAAAATAATATTACTACAAAAAGGAAAATCTCTAACCCACCATATTTTTCTAATAGAAATTAATTATAAATAAAGTTTGAAAAAAAGAGAAGATTATAAGGTCAAAAGTTCATTAATTCTTGTTAAGAAATAACCTAATTTGATTTGATGTGTAACATCCATGTGAGTGACCTGAATATGAGAATGTGTTCTTTGGTTGGGAGTGATGTTTGCTTAGAATTGACTAAATTTATTATAAGAGAATGTGTTCAAGAGTTTTGCTAAAACACTTTTTTTTTTAATTAAAAATTATAAGAGAGTGTATTAGAAATAGTGAAAAAGTGCTTATATGCATCTCATTAAAATAAATATTTTTAATTATCTTAAAAATTATTTGTTAGCATTTAAATTATATTAATCATCTTTATTTATGATTTGTTATATTTGTCAGTTTGGACAAATTACTTTTTCAGAAGAATTTAAAAAAAATACAAAAATTACTTCTTTATAAATTCAAATTTTCTTATGATACAAATTAAAAAATATAGAAAAATGATATGATATAATATTTAGAAACCAATTTATACACAATTTTTTTTTTTTATAGAATGTAGATTAAATAATTGAATTCTATGTTTCCTTCTCTTTTCCGAATGAATCAATAATATTAGTTATTGAGTACAGCAATCAGAAACAGTAGAATAATAAGTGGAGGGGCTCTGCATGTTGATTTGATCCACAATTATGTTTCTGAATCATCATTATGAAGCACATAACAATGAATAATATTTCTTAGACACGTGTTAAAACTTGCTTGATCCAATTATATGTCTAAAATATTATGATCTTCTTTTCATTTGCATATGGGTTACGGAAATGGCATGGTTGGCCAAAAAAGACAACGTGAGTGGACCAGCAATTATCAGACCAATTTTTCACCTCATATATCTCCAATGTCATATATCATACCCCACATACCAGGTTGTGCTGCTTCCGTAATACGAGTGATCTTAATCAAATTTACGTTCATTACCCTGCATCATTTTCCTCTTCAAATAATTTACAGCCACACAACTTCAAGAACTTCATTGTCTTTTAAACTTCAATCCAATTCATAGTCTAATCATATTTGTTTGCTTCCGTTTTGGTTTATTAAACTTTGACACCTAATTCTCTATCTTCTTAGCTTTATCCTTTGCATTACCACCACAATTATTAGTACTGGTAGAAGCCATATAGTCTAGCTGAATTATTGGAACTTCTTTTGTTCCTTGCATTCAATGGCTTCTTCCCTATGCAATATCTTCCTCATACTTTGTTTGTTTAGTGTTCTGGCCTCCATAGGGCCATATCCAGCTGCAGTTCATTCGGCTGGTGATGTTCCAATTAATGTGACCAAGCACTTTTCCTTCTATAATTTCAGCTTCAGCAATAACCCCAGACTAGTCCATGATGTGAAGCTCCTAGGCAGTGCCAAGTTCTCAAATGAAAAGGGTTCTCTTCAAATCCCAAATGAGTCACTAGACACAGACCTAAGACACCAAGCAGGTAGAGGCATCTATTCCTTCCCAATTCGCCTGCTTGATCCAACCACCAAGACTCCAGCTTCCTTTCAAACAACTTTCTCTTTTCAAATGAACAATTCCACTGCCTCTGAGCAAGCTGCTTATGGAGGTAGTGGCCTCACTTTCATCATTGTCCCTGATGAGTTCACTGTGGGAAGGTCAGGGCCATGGCTTGGAATGCTCAATGATGCTTGTGAGAATGACTACAAGGCAGTGGCAGTGGAGTTTGACACAAGAAAGAACCCCGAGTTTGGAGATCCAAATGACAACCATGTTGGCATCAACTTAGGTACCATAGTATCTACCAAAGTTATCAATGTTTCTGATGTTGGAGTGTCCCTTAAAGATGGATTTGTTCATCGCGCTTGGATCACCTATGATGGTCATCAAAGGAGCATGGACATTCGTCTTGGAAGGGCCAACGAAGAGGATTATCCTTCCACACCTATCTTCTCAGAAGATGTGGATCTCTCTCCTTATCTAAATGAGTACATGTTTGTGGGGTTCTCAGCCTCCACAGGTAACCATACACAAATCCACAACATACTTTCTTGGAACTTCACTTCCACAAGCCAAGCTTTTCTCCGCTTCCCTTCATCTGAAACCTGCCAGGGTAAGATCTTACTTGAGAATAGTACAGCATCACCAACAACTGAGAAATCTTCCAAGAGTGAGCCACCAAGAAGCTTTTTGATTTTTATGGCTGCTGTGGCATTGGCTCTGGTCCTTTTCCTTGGCTTTTACTTCATCAGTAAGCATAGGAGAAATACTTCCAAATTAAACACTTCAGTGGAGACAGAGATTCACTTGCCAAGGCCTCCAAACAAACCACGCCGCTTCACATTTTCTCAACTTTCATCTTCAACTCGGTCATTCAGTGAGATAGAGTTGCTTGGCAGTGATTCTAGAGGAGAATACTACAGAGGAAAGCTTTCTAACGGAAGCCAGGTGGCTGTGAAAAGGTTCTCAACTCAGTTTCTCCATACACATGGATCAGACAAGAAGCGTTTGTTGAAGGAAATCAAAGGCATTGGTCATGTTCGCCATCCGAATTTGCTTCCTGTCAGAGGTTGGTGTCAAGACAACCATGAAATCATGGTGGTCTATGACTTTGTTCCCAATGGCAGCCTAGACAAATGGTTATTTGGGGCTGGTGTTCTTCCATGGACTAGGAGGTTCAAAGTTATTAAGGATGTAGCTGATGGCTTGAGCTTCCTCCACTCTAAGCAACTAGCCCACAAAAACTTGAAATGCAGCAGTGTGTTTCTAGATGTCAACTTCAGAGCTGTTTTGGGTGATTTTGGGTTTGTGCTGCTGGGGGCAGAGTCAAAACAGTTTGAGTCAGCAGTGTGTCATGGTGCAGATGTGTTTGAATTTGGTGTCCTTGTGTTGGAAGTAATAGCCGGAAGAGTAAGGGATGAGAAAGAGGAGGGAAATACAGAAGAGAGGAACCTATTGGATTATGCTTGGAACTTGCATCAGATTGATGAGAAAGTTAAGCTGGTGGACAGAAGGATGGGATCATTGATCAACTTGGAGCAGGCAATTCGTGTTCTAGAAATTGGGTTGCTTTGCACTCTGAATGAGAACAAAGGAAGACCCTCAATGGAGCAAGTGGTGGAGTTTCTTCTAAACATGGATAAGTCCATTCCTGAACTGCCAAGAACTCGCCCTGTTTCCTTGTTCCCCTATAATAGCGCCAACACAGGTCTTTGCAACACATATTCTTGCACCTTTTGAGCGAGGTACCATGTTGCTGGATGATTATTTGGGAGATGTATGAATAAATGTTGAAGGGACAATTCTTAGGCCTGCAACAACGGATTGATTTTTCAAATGCTGCAAGTGCTTAAGGTTTGTGTTTGGGACATGCTACATAAATATCGTGTTGTATTTAGCCTGGGGTATTCGGCATGCTTTAGCATTTCTTTAGAAGATTCACAGCTCGAGGCAGGAGCATTTGTGCCTCGATTTAGAGTCCTCTTGCTACTTGGGAAGTGCAAGATGGTTGATAATGGTTAAAAGGGAAACCAAAGTCAATATTACTTTTATGATGAAAGGTTAAATTGTATGAATCAAAGCTCCATTACACCCCCTCTCTGTGCATTTTGTTTTACCCCCTCCAGTTCTTTAGCCCCAAGGCCATTATACTTCGCTTATTTCTGTTTTTGGTTTGTGCTTGAAATTATCATTGGACTAGAGTCATGTGTAATACACAAGACCTTGGAATACATTGCTGATCATTGTATCAGAGTGATATAGCACATGTTTTCGTGCCAAATTGCAGAAATAAAAAAAAAAAATTGTACTTTTATGTCAACATTGAGAAGATGCACTGTGATTATCTTTCTCCTTAGCATGCATTTTACTGATTTCTGTCTATCATTTCTGGAAAGGTGTCTGTTAAATTCGAATTACAATTTTTTATGGTTGTATTGGTAACACACCAACCAGATGGAAGGTACTTTTTTAAGGATGGAAATATATTAATTTTGGTGGTTCCATCTAGCATTTACATGGAATGTGTGTAGTAGCAGTGGAAACTGCTAGAGGAGTAAAAAAGAATGGAAATTTGTAAGGATATATACTACCATTTGAGTGTGACATTTCCAATGATAAGATTAGTGAAACGGTGCCTTTTGCAATGACAGAAATAGAACACGATTCCTCTGCAGATGAGATTACACACGCGTTCAACTATTACTACCATAACTGATGAAACTCCAAATTTCAAGAATCAGGATTTTCATTTCAGCATCTGGTCAAAGGGAATTTGGTAGGGGTTGAAAACCTTACATGCTGCCTATCCAAAATTACCTACATAAAAAAGTTAGTAGGATCATTTTAAAAACCCCAATCCTATGGGTTAGGACATGCTCCCTTAAATCTATGAGCAATTTCGTGCCAAAAATTCACCTTGGTTATCTCTGTTTAAAACCAAGTAATTTTAAGATTCAGATTCAACTTATCAAAACTCAAGAAAAGTAATTAATCAAGCTTTTCTTTTTCTTCTTTTTTTAGGTTTTTCTTACTGACTTTGTTTTGTTTATGCCACAAAGGACATAATTTATTTTACAGTTTGTCACTTAGATGTCACTGATACATACGGTAACTTTTTCGGAATTAAAAAAAATAACTATTAAATGTTAAATGTAAATAAAAATTCAATCCGATAAATGATTTAAATAAAATATTAACTAAAACAATCGAATTAAATTGAATGTAAATTTATAATTTAAAATAAATAATAATTAAAACAAATAAACAAAAGTAGATACGTGAATAAATAAATTTAAATAATATTAAAATCAATACAGAAATAAAAGTTTCAGTACATCCTTCGATTGCATAGTTAGTAATGTTTTATTTTTTAAAAATATATTATTTAATTTATAAAATTTTTTATCGAAAAATATTTAATATTATTTATTTATTTAAGTTTATTTTTCTTGTATATAATTTATTTATTTAGGTTTATTTTAATTTATTAAAATTATTTAAAATTATTTTCTTATTGATTTTATTTAATATTTTAAATGAACTCAAAGAAAATATAAAATAAAAGTTTCTTATTCGCGTTGTGACATTAATGAAAATAATCAAATTCTTTAATTACATGATTCATAACATTTTACATAATTTTTGTTTATATAATTTAAATTTATTTATTATTTACATTTTTTATTTTGAATATATTTTTGAAAAAAATTATCTAAAAAACATTGTATGCATTGATTTCATTATTTCAAGGTTACCTAAACAGTTTTCAGATAATAATTAATATAAAAATACTTATCAGTAACAAAAAAGTTAAAAAAAATTAGGAATAAAAACATAAAATCCAACAATTTATCAAAAAGAAAAAAATGTTTAAAAAAGTTAATTCATTGCATAAAAATATTATGGATTTGAGGACTGAATTACTGTACTTAAAAATATTATTTTTAAAAGATTGTAAAGAAATGTTATTGTTAGTAAGATTTTTCTCTCTCTAGTTCCTATTTGAATAGATTTATATATTCAGAATTTAAAAAGATTTAAAAAAGACTCTATAAATTTATAATATTTCAAAGAATACATATTTTTCGAAAACATTCAAATGTTCATAAGTGAATGAAAAAAATGAAAAATAATTACGAGATTTGAATAAAAATCAATAGATTTTTTTAATCTTCTCATACTTAAATCTGAATAATACTTTGTTATATAATAATACATAAAAAATTCTCTAGTAATTTAATTAAAAGTTCATCAAAACAATATTCTTTCGTAAAAAATATTAGTTCAATAAAAAAAAATCATCTGAACAATATACACTATTTATAGGAAAAAAAATTGGCGTATAAAGAAAAGGATTTGTAATGATTGAATAAATTGGTGTATATATATTTTTATACTAACAAAATAAATAAGTGATAAAAAAATTAATTCAAATTTGATTTTCTACATAATCTTATCACATTAATTCTATATATGTAAATTCTAACGCAATCTTTTTAAAAAAAGCAAGATATTATAGATTGGATATATGAATATTCATGAAATTGTTATAAATATTTGTCTGCCTGCTAATCAAACTCGCGTTCTTGCGCAAGTCACAGACAATGGAGATCACACTGTCATGCTATAGCGACAAAAACCAACAAGAATTCTTCAAGGGTTTCCTGCTCCACAAAAGTTCTACTCAATTGGTATACTCTTGCTTCCAATTCTTTCTCCATCTTTTCGTCAATGGAATGAGGGCTTTTGATGGGTTTTTTTGGTCTGTCTGATTTTTCATGTGTCTAATTGATGGTGACACTTACCCGGATTTTTGCTTGTTTCAGCAAATACCAACGTCTTTCACCAAGTTCTTCAATGGAATAACACCATGCAAAGCCACATTGGTAGATCACGATGGAAAATCTTGGGATGTTAACTTGGAGAATATTGACGGTGGCTTGGTTTTTGAAAATGGGTGGGAGAAATTTGCTAAGGAGAGAGATTTAGAAGATGGGGACTTTCTGGTTTTTCAGTATGATGGCATATTTACGTTTAGTGTGAAGGTATTTTCGAAAACTGGGTGCAGGAAAGTGGCTGCACCTCCAAGTGGAGGACAAATTTTAACCACTGTGAAGTTGGAACAAGATTATGAGCAGACAAGTGGCCAAGTACAGAACGGTGTTAAACGGAAACACTCATCACTGAGTCCCGAAATAAACCAGAAATCAGTGTTAGGAGGTGAGGACTGTTGAAGTATTTGTATTTCATCATATCATATATCATTGTTATTCTAAAGCTAAAAGGGTGAATGGTTATAGGTGCATGTTCATCCGAAGGAACTCGGCAGCACAAGTTAAGAAAAGTAAAGGAAGAGAAAGATGACTACAGCGAGATGAATGTTGCTGTGCCAAAGAGTGTTATTCCATTGCAGAATCCTCATTTTCAGATATATTTTGATGCTCCTTGGAGACTGAAAAAAGTGGTAATTGGTTATTTTGAGGAACATGTATCTAAACTGGATATGGTGTTGGTGATATTTGGTTTGTGATGTTTATGGTGTTGGTGGTTGCAGGAACTTCCTAGGAGAGTGGTGAAGGAGATGAAAATCAAGCTGAATCGGAAAATAAGTCTGAGAGATGAGAATGACAGAGTATGGCCGGCGTCGATCCATTCCACCGGGAAGAAAGATCGTCACTTTTTGGGAGGTGGATGGTATGATTTCAAGCGGAGTCAGAACATTGAAGAAGGCTGTAAATGCGATTTTGAGTTTGTTGTTGACAAAGCAAACGTAGCCAGAGAACTGCTTGTGCGCGTACGTTCTGATTCTTATTGGTGAACTCGAAATAACTGATTTACAACACATCAAAATTAGGATTAATCTACTACGTAGGTTTTTTTATATATTTTGTTATGAAATTTAAGTATATTAAATTTCTTTTTTTCTTTTTAGTTTGTTATATGTTTGGATTGAATAAGAAAATTTCAGTTATTCAATTTTAATTTTTTCTGATTGATTATTTTTCATTATCACCAAATGTAAAATAAAAATAAATAAATAAGATAAATTATATTATTTGGAGTTATATATAAATAAATAAATAAGAGACTTGAAATACTCTTTATTTTTATTATTTATTTTTTATTATTATTAATTATTAAGATAAATTATTATTTTAATTATTATTTTAATTATTATTTTACTAAAAGATTAATAAATAAGAAAAATAATTCTATAATTATTATTTTCAAAATAAATAAATCTTCTTATTTTATATATATATTACAAGATCAATTGTATACTAATATGACTTATTTCCTTATTTAAATTTAAAACGTGACGTTGCTGTCAATTTAGTTTTCGAAACAAGGAAAGAAATTATATTAGTCATTTGATATAATAACTTTCTTAATAATAATAATTTAATTTTAAAAAATACCTTAATTATTTAATAAAATATAATATTTAAATTAGTTTAAATAAAACTTCTTCCCCGTTTGAGGCTGTTTGAGGCTGCTGGGGCGGGGGGACGCCGTAAGGAGGAGTGCAGTATCCCCCCTGCGTGCGGTAGGCCGGTTCTCTGACAGTCGCGCTAACCTCAACCTTGCCTTGAGGTCTTCCGGAAGAGCGCTTGAGCGTGAAGGCGTGGGTTGCGCACTCGCCGATTCCGACGTCGAGAAGACTGAGCCGAGCCGAGCCGATGAAGGGATTGGTGTCCTCGTGCTCAGAAGCGGCGTGGACGACGTCGATGAAGAGAGTGAGGTCCTGGAGGGGCTCCGGCGGCAACGGAATGATGAGCGTTTGGTCCCAGTTGGCCTGGGTGTCGCCGTCCTCGTCCACACGTGTGGAGCACTTGTTATTGGGGTCGACCCAAACGACGGCGTACGGGCGGTTGGGGCCGTGGCGCCAGTTGACGTTCTTGAGCCGGCGGGCTGATGCCACCCGAACTTGGAGTTCGTAGCGAGAAGCCATGAAAATTAGAAAGTAGAAAGTAGAGAAGTTGAAAGAGAGTTGTGTTCGGAGAAGAGGAAGAAGGGTTTGTGGGTTTTGTAGGAATGTGGTGTTTCTTAGCCCTTGGATTTTGAGGGTAATAACACGGTTGCCACCAATGGCTTTGGGAAGGAACTCTTGCTACCATGGCCACGTGGGTTTGCATGCATGCTTCCATGCTGCCTTTCTTACACTCCACACTGTTTATTCATTCTTCTTTAATTACTCCAGCGTAATAAATATCTTTAAATCAGATGAATAGATTATAGATCGGTATACTTGAACCATGAGAAGCATTTTCTGTTGGTGATTTGACTTCACTTGATTATTACATCCTTATAGAAAGTTTCATAAAAAGTTACGCTGAAGTTGCATTGAAAGTTGCAGGATTGTAATGAATTGTAAACAGTGGAGTGAAAGAGAATGAGTTATTCCTAAGGCATTGCATGCACCTACATCTTATCTTTCCACTATGTATTTAATACAATTACAACTTCAGATTTTAAAACAATTAAAGGTTAAATTATTTATTTGGTTTTTATGGTCTCACAGTTTTACTTTTCAGTTTATATATCTATTTTAGTTCTTATACATATTACTATTGTATTA